GGGATTGGGGCTTTAGGGTTTTAGGGCTTTTTTAAGGCTTTAGGGCTTAAGGGGCTTAGGGCTTCAGTTAGGGTTTCAGGTCTATCGCTTCAAGGTATTATGGTTTTAGTATAGGGTTTACCAACTGAAGCGACGAGGATCTGAAGTTTTGGATCTGAGGGGCTTCAACTTTTCTGGCGTTGCAGGATACACAAGAATTGAACCTTTACTTTTGTTAGCTCGGTCTATGGCTTTGGGATTTTCGGGCTTTAGGATCTTAGGAGTTTTACAGGTTATAGGATATAAGGATTTGAAGATTTTGGAGTCTTGGATTTTGGGGATTGTTGGTTTCCTGGGAAACCGACCAAAAAAAAACAAAACATTGACAGTTCACAGTCGGGATCTTTTGGGAAAAGCCTTGTTTCGGCCAAAGGTAAACATGTGCCCGTGAACACGGCCATGGTACTTGGAGGTCGCGGGGACTTAGTAGGTCGGGTATAGGTAGGCTTCTAATTGGGGGGAACTCTATGGTTTAGGGTTTAGGGTTTAGGGTTTAGGGTTTAGGGTTTAGGGTTTAGGGTTTAGGGTTTAGGGTATTTAGGGTATTTAGGGTACTTATAACTCTACTCATAACCTGCTTACTAAGCCCCCTGGGTCTCTAAGTACCCATCGTCAACGTCGCGACGGCCACGACCAAGCCCAGTGCGTGTCCAGAATTCGACGTCGTGCGAAGCATCACATGGATACTGTGCGGCCAAACGGCTTCAGGATTTGGCATATGCAGGCCTTTACGGCGAAGTAGCCCTTTCATGCTGTAAAGAAGCGGCACTGGAAGCTAACTCTTCTTCGTCAAGGATCCCCAGTAGCCTGGGAACAGAGCTCCCTTTTTTCGTACTGTACAGCTTTATAAGGAACGTAAGACCCAAAAATTACAAAAGGCCCACGGGGAGCGCTAGTCTAAACCCTAAACATACCCTAAACACTAAACCCTGCTGGAGACTGGACAGTCAGAAGCTCGCTGCGCTGATCCCGGTGCCCGTCGCCAGAAGCTCGGCTCCAGCTCGAGCTTTAGGGCAACTTTAATGCTTTAGGGTTGGGGCTTCAAGAATTTAGGGCTTAAAGGTTTAGGGTTTTTTAGGCTTCAGGGGTTTAGGGTTTTAGGACATAGGTTTTTTTTGTTGGCGGGCGCTCTTCCAACAGCTCGAAGCTAGCCCTGCACAGACTTCACGGTTTGGCTTGCTTTCAACACGGGTTGTGGCTGTCAGGCTTCTATAAATCGCCGAAACGAGCAGGCGTAGGGAATACATCAATCAAACACAAACGGAACTTGCCCCTCATTCATAACTATCTTGCGGTACAGCCCCTACCGTACGCAGTTCAGGGTTGAAGCTTGAGGATTCTTTCAGGCTTGGGGTTCAGGATTCCAGATCCCTAAACCCTAGGGTTTAGGGTTTAAACTCAAAAACAACCCTCAACCCTAAAACCCTGGATGCAGTGACGATGACACGCGGTACTCAAACTCGCACTACGGCTGCAGGACACAAGCCTGCAAGATGCCATATAATGTCATACTTCCTATGCCCTAAACCATAAACCCTTAAACCCTAAACCCTAAACCCTAAACCCTAAACCCTAACCCCAAGATAAGGTTACTGACATGAAGATGGCGGAGACTGTCCACCAGGCATAACTTAGAAACTCCAGAGCCTGAAACTTGAACGTTACCTATACCCTAAACCCTAAACCCTACTGTAGGCTATAAGGTTTGGGGTTTAGGGAGCCTATCAGGGTTAGGGTTTAGGGTTTAGGGAGCCTATAAGGTTTTAGGATTCAGGGTTTAGGGAGCCTTGGAGTATTCCTCGCTGCCCTATAATGCCACCCTGGCCACACACTGAGTGGTCCCGTAAGGCTGTGAGAATCCCTGATTCTACGTTTTACAGGGGCATTAGGTTATGAGAATAATACTTTCTTTTTGGGGCAAAGAAAACGCAAAACCCTGTTCTAACGGTTGAGGCCCTACACGAATCCCCTATATTTCCGCTTGTAGCAACCCTTGTAGGAACCCTTTACAGCAACACTTAAGCGAACCCTGTTCTAGTTTTGAAGGTCCCTATAGTATAGTAGAAGTCAGAAATCCAAACACTCCGAAAGTACAAAAAAGCAACATGCTCGTCAGCTTATTGTTCGAATGTAATGCCAAGATGAACTACTAAAGTACCTACAATTGCTATTACAAGTTTGCACCCTAAACCCTAAACCCTAAACCCTAAACCCCTGAACCTCTAAACCCTAAACCCCTAAATCCTAAGCCCTAAAACCCTAAACCCTAAATCCCTAAAACCCGAAGCCCTGGCCCAAAACTTTGAATCGAGTCTACTACTACCAATAGTGGTAATGACTATTGGGTACGTCTCTGAATTAGGGTCCGTTTTGGGGGCCCCAATAGAGTATGGTACCCTTATATACAAAGGGACCCAAAAGAGACTCTGTTTCCGTTCCAGGCGCAAAGACCCTGCCCCATGGATTCGAAAATCGATAAAACTGCATGGTTTGGGATTGAGGTTTAGGGTTTAGGGTATCCGAGAACCCATCAGCTTTTCGTCAACCGTTTTAAAAGGGGCTCGGAACTCAGCAAATCAGTTTTGCTGCGGCGTGCATGAGATTGAGGATCCAGGGTTGCTGGGTTCATCGGATCTAGGCAGGAGGGCCGTGGGATCAGACTAAACCCTACAGTATTGCGAGATCTAAGATGCGGCAGGGGAGGCTGCGGAGACCAAAATACTTCGTCCTCTGACTCCTCAGGGGGCGCGCCTTACTCTAGGTGTACTACGTATCACATAACCCTAAACCCTGCTCCAATTAAAGATTCGTAAACAAGATCCTCTTACGCCCAATAAGGGAAAACACAAAATGTCCCAGAGGCCTACACCCTAAACCCACACCCGCAAAGGCCGACAAGGCTCTAGGAAGCTCTGCACGGCCGCGAGAATTTGACCCGCCACTGGCTGCCTAGGGGCCGTGAGGTTTAGGGTTTAGGGTTTAGGTTTTTGTTTTTAAGGTTTAGGGTTCAGGGTTTCCCAGGGTTTGTTTGAGAGCGTTCGTGAACGTACTACTGGTCTTCAAATGAGATTGTAGGCCCCGAGAACTGGAGGTTTTGAGGTCTTTTGGCACTGCACACTCATGCAGGGACTATAAGGGGATGCTGCTACGGTGTCTAATTACCTAAAGCATACAAATTTCGTGATGCGATGTCCATTTCCATCCATTTCCAGCACACCCCCGCCCAAGGACACATCATAGGTCCAAACCCAGACCCTTACACAAAACCCTTTGTAGACCCCCTTGAGGGGCCGAACCGGACGACTTACTCGCGGTCATATCAAAGACCCAAGCCGGACACTTCCACGAAAACCCACATCAGCTTTGCTGGAAACTCAACCGAAGGATCTACTCTACCCCATCCTCAGACATCAAACCTTTACACAAAAATCCACAATTTCCCACGAGAACGATGACGTATTCTAGGCCGCACAAGGGCCCATACCGCTTAACACATCTTTCGTACCTTGAGTAGGTCGTGTGGTTGAGTTTCTAGTAGGGTTTAGGGTTAAGGGTTTAGGGTCTATTTAGGGCTTTTGTGGTGTTGCAGGTCAATCCTGAGCCCCCAAAGACAAAAAACCGCTCGACACTCAGACCAAAGCCTCTTCTGCTTCAATCCCTCAAGCCTACGCCGAAATCGCAAAGCCCAACGCTTTGAACTTGTTTGAAGACGTTTCTGCCCTAAACCCTAAACCCCAAACCCTAAACCCTAAAGCCTAAAGCCTAAAGCCTAAAGCCTAAACTCTTCCTCAGCCCTGGCTCGTAAAACCTACACCCCAAAAGCCCTAAGGCCCTAAGCCCGAGGTGCAGGGTGGACGCTTCCGCCCGGCCCATCTCGAAGATCGCCTGGCTTCGGGCGGTTTACGGTTTAGGGTTTAGGGTTTAGGGTTTAGGGTTTAGGGTTGAGGGTTGAGGATTTAGGGTTTAGGGTTTAAGGTTTAGGGGTGCGAGGAAAGAGTTTTGGATTGACCTACTTGGAGGCCTAGTGGACTTAGTAACTCGGTTATAAGTAGGGTTATAATTGGGGTAAGCTTGCAATTCTGTAGGGTTGGGGGTCTACTTAGAGGCCCAGGCGACTTAGTAAGTAGGTTATAAGTAGAGTTATAAGTACCCTGAATGGGTTACCACAATTATAACCCTACTTATAACCGACTTACTAAGTCCCCCGGGCCTCCAAGTGCCCTCAAACCAGAGCCAAAACCCTCGACACTAAGTCCCAAACCCTAAATCCTAGACCTTGAACCCGAAATTCCAAACCCTAAACCCCAAGGCACCCTGCGCCCTGAAGACGGAATCCTAAAAACCCCACAATCTTGGATCTTGGGCCTAAAGCCCGAACGGCTAGCTGGCCGTGAGTAGGTTCCTATGACACGGCTTAGGGTGCAGGGGTTTGGGGGTTTAGGGTTTAGGGCTCAGGGGGGTGAACGTAAGTCCTACCACTGGCCCCTGCCTCATGTCGGACCTGGACGACTTCGTATTGCGTTGCAGAGGGGTGTGTTTCAGGAGAGGGCTTCACTCTCCCTTTTCAAAGCTGCCCTTTCGGTTTAGGGTTCCGGTGTTAGCGTGTCCCAATCTCGGACCTGGAAAGCGGCGTCCCATCGAGAAAAACGATGTGGCGAGAGGGTTTAGGGAGTAAGGTTTTAGGGTTTAGGGTTTGGCGTTAGGGCCTGAAGCTCAGAGTTTAAGGTTCGAGTTCGAGGTTCACGCTGAGGTTTGAACCAAGGCATTTCCTCCCGGTGCATTCCGAAAAAAGGAGGTGTCAGTGTCGGAAATTAGGGGTTCCTTCGCAAGGATAAGGAATACAGAGGTCTTGGGTGCTAGCTTGCAGCTAAGAATAACATGCATGTCACTATATAGCCTCACTATATAGCTTACAATCATACGCGAACAATAAAATTCAAAGTTCTAGCCATTCTAGCCCGGACCCTAAACCCTAAACGCTAAACCCTCACCCGTAAACCCTGAAGCCCAAACCCTAAACCCTCACCCTTAAACCCTCTAAACCGATTGAGACACTGAACTGTTGATCCGGAAGCCTCAAGCACTCAACGCCAGACCCAACCCTACAGAGCCCTAGGGCCCTAGGGTTTAAAGTTTAGGGTTTAGGGCTTTTTTTTAAAGTGCAATGGCCTTTTCGTGCGAACAAGCCTGCCTCAGAAGAGGCTTACACTCAGGACGGCCTTGCGGCCAAAACAGACACACCAACTAGTCGACCTCTTCAGCCTCACTCTCAGCAGCAGCTCCCACACGTCCACGATCACGACTGCGGCTGCGATCAACTCGTCCCGCAGAGGAGGTACTCGCCATCACGACCGACCCATTCACCGCTGGTAGCGACCCGACCGAGACATGACGATCCACCTCCACCCGATCATATCCCCGAACTTCACGAGCTTGTTGAAGACGCCGACGCGAAGCAACACCTCTGATCGCACGTTCACGCGTCGGGTCTTCAGGGTAGGGCACGTTGTACGGGTAATTCACGATGACCACTCCCTCGTGCATCTGGACCATGTAGAGGTCGTCGTCATACTCCGACGGCCACCTTCCCACTGGAACCTCACGTCCCTCACGACGATAGAGACCAGCCACGTGCTCACGCCACGCCCTTCTCCTGTATCCCGCCACTGTATGAGGCTCCACCGCCGGCAACGCTCTTTCCAATTCGTCCAAATTGCGTGGAAGATGCGGTTGGAGAAGCACTGCCTGCGGCTCCGTAAGGCCGACTCCTCTCGACGAGGTACCATGTGACCCCATCTGGGCCTCCCTGCCTATGACAGACCACAAGCGGCGATCCATCGCCGCAGCATTGAAGGGTACCGCCTGGCGTCCGCAACGAATCCATGCCAGGCATTCTTCCATTGCTGCATCCAGGAGCTCTGCGCAACGCCGCAGCCCTCTCTGCCTATCTTGGAGACGTCGTAGCACATCAACCACATCCGCACTTCCCGCGTGCCGAAGCTCAAGATGAACTGCATCACGTACAATCCCTTCCGCTGTCCACTCACTCGTCGTCGTGGTCGTGGAAGTCGAGGAGAAGGTCCAAGTGCTCGAGGTCGTAGAGGTCGAGGAAGGAGCCCACCTACACGAAGACGCCAAGGTCGTTGACGTCGGTGAACTGATTGCCGTAGACGACGAGCTGGACGACCACGTCACCACAACCTCACCCACTTGCACCAACAAAATAGCGTCATCTCCATCAACTTCATCTTCCTCCTCTTGTGTACACCCTGGCTCCCGGTCGTGCGGGTATGACTGCTCCCTCGTTGACGTAGTAGTCGTACCACACCCAGCAGGCCACACTCCAGACATCGAGGTTCCAGTCCAAGCAGTGCTCGAGGAGGAATCGCCCGAGACTTCACCATCTTCAAGCAGACTTTCCAGCAGTACAGTGCTTATCGGCCACGGTGATGACGCCAACCACTCCTGGCGTGACAGCAACAGTTCGTCCCACCATGCACTTGCCGTCGTAGTTAAAGTCGTCCCCGGTCTTGATGGTCCTGAGCCGCTGGCCCCACCAAACATGCTCGCATCAGCACGAAGGTCCACCAGCGGAGGGTCTCGCCAGATCCCCGGAAGTGTACTTGCATTGGGGAGCGGACTCTGACCAGCCTCAGGTGTGTCCCCACTATGTTGTGATAGGTGCGGGCTGCGGCTACGGCTTCGGGAGGTCGGTGGTTCACGTCGCGAAGATGAGGAGGCACGCTCTTCCGTGGTGGTCTCCTCAAGCTCTCTCGAGCCCATCACACTGGTAGTGCTGCTTGGCGGCGGAGGCGGTGATTCATTGACTTCACTTCCTTGCAAAGGCACCGCCATGTGATGCTCAATGATCCGGAGAGCCATAGTCGAGAACTGTCTCACCCAGCTGAAGAGGTTCCACCGTTGGGTTTCACTTCGGGGTATGCGCGTTACGGGGAGATATCCTTGTGGACGGAGTCGCCTGGCCAAGATGACAATCCTCGCTTCGACTGACTCCAGGCCATCCTCCATCCTCTGTAGCAGCCTCGCTAGGGCCCAGCGGGCCTCCGGACCTGTTCTCCACCCGAAGTATTTGATCATCAGGTACGCCTTGCTCCCGTAAGCTCTGAGACTCTGCCCCGGTGAGCTGCATGAGATGCAGAACGTCACCCTCTTCCCCTTCTTCCAGTCCTTGAGGAGGCGCAGGACGTACATCAGGGTATAGGCCATGGTTCGGCGGCAACTCAATTTCACGGGAGGCCGTTGTTGTTGTCGACGTGGAGGCCATTGTTGTTGTCGAAGTGGACCAAGTTGCACATGGCTCCTCCCACGAATGATTCACCCAATGGTTCACATTGGATTCTTCGTTCTGCTGCGCTTGCCTCCAGTTCCCTCCATGTTGAGGCCAGGTCCACGACGTCCATGTTGTCCACGATGTCCACGACGTAGGCGCTGTCCAGGATGATGACGTAGGCGACGTCCAGGATGATGTTTGGGCCCCTTCTTGTTCATGGTGTTGCCAATGGTGCCAGGAGTTCCATTCCCACCACCTCCCACTCTCAATGGGTCGATCTTGTTCTGTAACTTCGTCCATATCATTTGACCCCCATTGTCCTTCTCCAGTCTCACCACCTTGAGGCTGTTCTTGTTGCGAGAGGGTCTCTGCCGGGGTGACTTCAGCGTGCATGCTTCGTTCGCGTTCTCGTTGTTGACGATCACGGACGTAGTTCTGCAGCCAGGCTGGACGCCACTCACCCCGAAAGTATGCTGCGGCCCGTTCAGCCTTTCTGCGACTTCTTTGCATGCCTCCTCCCCCCATATGTGCTCGCTGTTCATCCGGCGTGCGGGCACGAGGCACCCATTCACCGTATCTCCAGAAACCTATTGTGCGGTCGTCAGAGGATGACGCTTCAGTGTCGCCCAGGTTACCATCCGTCTCAACGTCAGGGGCCGCATCTGTAGACGTTTCACCTGCTGTCGTGGAGGCGACGTCGTCAGCGAGGTTCGTGGCCGGGACGGAGTTGGCTCGCACTTTGCATGACACCCCCGTGCCCAAGGTGATGTACAGGATGGTGTCATGTGTGCCGTTATTGGCAGGCGTCGCCGCATCGATTGTAAACAGAGAGGCCTCGGGGATAGGGTGAAGGTCACCCCCTCCTGCACGAGAACCTGACGAAAGGCTTGTTAGTCTCCATAAGCTGCTCAAGCCTTGCTTCATGCCTGACGAAGAAGCTGCGATTGCGTGGTGTGCCCTTTCTGAAGATGCAAGGTATCACCATGTGATCCGTAGCGACGGAGTATGGGATCCAAGTTGCAGGGAACAAGAAAGTTCCCTCTCTCAGACCTGAAGCAACTTCTCCTCTCATCCACTCTCTTCCATCACTTGTACCAAACATCAAGTGTTGATCCTGATTGTCTCCACTTCCGATCACTTCCATCACAGGCTTTCTTGGGTCAGCATGGCTTTTGAAGCTCTTACTCCCTGAAAGCTCCACGCTGGTCTGTCCTCGAATTTGGTCGGCTTCTTCTTGCCAAGCCTGATGAATTGCGTAGTAAGAGCCGAACATGTAACGCTAGTCCTGATTTGGTTTTCAATACCCATTGGCTTCTCAACGGCTTCATCGATGTCGACTGGCATTATGATCACCTGTTCTATGCGCTCGCCACGCCTAGATCGTGTGAATTCACGGAGGCCAATCCTGTCCGAAAACCCAAGCAATGGACATGTCAAGAAGTTGCACTTGGTAAGCCTACCAAGCGCCAACGAGTTGAAAAGGAACGGCTTGATGTCATGGTCCGCATTTTCCTTCATCTCCCGCAACTCTTTGAAGACATCAATACCAGTAAATCCTGACTTTACTGGCTGCACGCACATCTTGCTCTCAGAGGATAAGCGTTCGGCATCATGGCTCAAATCTTCGTCGTAGTCAACGTATGCCAACCTGCTCATCTCATCAGAAGTGAAAGGTTTAGTGTTTAGGGTTTCGGGTTTAGGGTTTAGGGGGTCATTAAGCCTAATGTTATAGTCTGGGCCTTGCATTCTTGCGTCAATCATCAACCGCAAGCGCTCAAACCAAAACCCGGAACCCCACATGCTGCCCGATTCCCCTAAACCCAGAACCCTAAACCCTAAACTTTCACACTGAAGCCGTAAACAGCTTGTACATCCCTACGCAACCCAAGGCACTCGGCAGCTTTAAAAAGCCCCAAGTATTAAACGACACTCCAAGAACATAAATAATGTGATCCCACAGGCCCTATGCGCCCTACGCCCTGCACCCTGAAATCCTAAACCCTAAACCCTAAAACCCTAAACCAGAATAAACCCTAAACCCTAAAACCCCACACCCCTATATGAACCCTAATGGGCCCTAAACCCTAATGGGCCCTAAACCCTAAAACCCTAAACCCCTAAACTAAAAGGCCATAAAAGGCCCTAAACCCTAAACCCTCAACCCTCCAAACGTCTAAAAACAGCCGGACCTTCATACCCGCCCCGCGCACGAAGACCCGGCCATCCACGTCCACCAGCGACACCAACAGATCTCAGGGTTTGGGGCTGTAGGGTTTTAGGATTTAGGGGTCTATATAGGGCTGAGGGTTTAGGGTTTATAGGGGTCAAGGGGTCTAGGGCTTTAGGGCTCTAGGGTTCTAGGGTTTAGGGTTTAGGGTTCTAGGGTTTAGTTTTAGGTTTAGGGGTTTAGGGTTTTAGGCTTTAGGGCTTTAGGGGTTTAGGGTGTAAGAGTTTAGGGTTTAGGGTTTGGGGTTAGGGTCTAGGTTTAGGATTTAGGGTCCAGGATTCAGTCTTGAGGGCTTGGCTTCTGTAGCGTTCTCCGAGGGCTACAAGGGTTCTGTCATAGGGGTCCTGAATAGGTAGAAGATGTTGTAAGCGCTTTGTGACGATATATGTACTAGACTCATGATGAGGACTAGAACGTGACTAACCTGTTGATTAGTTAAACTAATTAACAGCAGCCCTGTCTATCAGGGCCTGTGGAGATTGTATAGCATTGTGTACTCACAGGGCTCTACGGGGGGTGCAGCGCTTGCGCTTCGGGATTTGCAAAATTCGGGTTAGCATGTTCGGGGCTTGGGTTTCTGGTTTTAGGAGTCGGAGTTAGGGTTTAGGGTTTAGGGTTTAGGGTTTAGGGTTTAGGGTTTAGGGTTTTGGGTTTTGGGTGGGTTTAGGATTTAGGGAGACAAAACCCAACCTGGATTCCTAGATGTCCCAAACCTTTAGACACAAAAGGCGTCTCAACCCATTGAACTTCAAACTTAAACCGCTATGCCCAAAGATGTGTTTGTAGAATGGCAGGGTCTCTTCCCGCGCCCAAGCCCCTTAAGGTTCATAGGGCTTCTGTTTAGGCTTGACATTGTCGGGTTTTTGGGCACATGCTCAGTTTTAGAGTGCTTTTAAAACCGCATAGGGAGCCATCACCACAACGAGCAGAGCCACTGCGGGCACCTTCACCACGACTACTCTCCATCGTGACTGCCACCGCCACCACGACGACGACTACTTTGTATTACCACCATTCCTCTGAGTTGTTGTTGTCAATCTAATTTGCTTAACAAAATCCGATTACTGCCTAGATCTCCCTGACTGCTCTCTGCCACAGCCAAATGCCGACTATCAGGACCACAAGGGCCGTATTCGGGGCTGTCCAGAGAAACCCTAAACCCTAAACTCGCGGCTTAGGCCGCCCCCCTGGCGGCGCTTAAGCCCCTCGACCTCTAATGCGCAACTCACTAAACTCCAAACTCCAAACCCTAAACCACAAACCTGAACAGAAGCTCCCCTCATCTCAAACCCGCAAACCCCGAAGCCGTGAACATCGGGTTTAGGAAGCTTAGGATTTAGGGTTTAGGGGAAGCCAAACCGCAAGCTGAAGACAAATTCCAAAACGATGCCGAACACCTGGAGACTGCCAACGCAAAACGTGAAGCTCCAAACACAACACCCCAAAAAAGCCCGAAGCCCTAAGCCCCACCAAACCTCAGAAAAAAGCCCCGGATGTTTCAACAGCCTAAACCCTAAACCCTAAATCCTAAACCCTAAGCCCTAAACCCTAGACCCTAAACCCTAAACCAAAACAAAAGCCGAAGCCAAGGCAATGGTCCCAGGCGCTTAAGGCCGCCAAAGGCCCATTCAAGGCGAACTCGGCGATTTGATTCGGCTTTCAGGGGTTTAGGGTTTAGGGTTTAGGGTTTAGGGTTTAGGGTTTAGGGTTTAGGGTTTAGGGTTTAGGGTTTAGGGTTTAGGGTTTAGGGTTGAAGGTTTGGGGATAGGGTTCTAGGGATTAGATTCTACGGTTCAGAGGTTAGGGTTCTAGGATTTGGGGCTTAGGGATTGAATACTCGGGCTTTCAGTTCAAGGAAACTACAGGTGGGGAGCTTAGGGTTAAAAAGGACTTCTATAAGGCTTCCATAAGGTATAATTATAGACCTTCTATAAGGCTCCTATAACGGTAACTATCCACCTGAAAACGTCCTAGATTCACGGGTTTAGGGTCCAGTTCAAGGTTTAGGGTCTAGGTTTTAGGATTTGTTGAGGTCTTTGGGTTCAGCACTTACGGCCTAAAGGGTTGATGGTTTCGGGTTTAGCCAGCGTCACGGGTTTGGGGTTTCAAGTCAAGGGCTTTAAGACTTAAAGCTGTCAAGAGCTTTTAAGAAATTAGGGCTTACAGTGTGTACGCGTGAGCTTTAAAAAAGGTTTCAAGGGTGTGAATTTTAAGGCTCTTGGGGTGTAGGGGGTATTCAGTGTTGCTTTTTTAAGGGCTGGGGGTTTAGGGTGTGGAGCTTTGAAGGGCTCCTGTGAGGTTTCCTTTAAGGGTTCCTTTACAGGTTCCTTTCAGAGGATTCCTTGATGGGCTTTGGCGTTTTAGGGTTTAGGGTTTAGGATCCGGGATTCGGGCGTGGGCAGTGATATGTCTGGATGCGTCCGGCTTCAGGCCATTTCCCGGGCCGGAATTGAGATGCAACCCTGCTCCCGTACAGGGTTAGGGCCTATGGGCCAAAAACCAGAAAAGCAGCTTCAATGGGTCTGGATGCGCATGGAGCAAGAATGACAATACTTAGCAGCAGAGCCCTTTAACATTGCACACCGTAAACGCCCCGCCCTTATCACTCCGAAACCGGTTGAAACCTAAACCACCCAGAGCCAAGTAAGCGAACAAGGCTTCATGACCCTCAACAGTTTACGGCTTGACCCTCCCTAAACCGCCAAAGCCCAAACCCGAAACACGAAAACTCAACTCCCAAACATTGAATAATAAAGTTGTGACGTGGACTGGAAAGTCCCAACGCTCAGAGTTTCGAGTTTGTTACTCGAGTCGGGTGGGTCTAGGGTTAAGGGTTTAGGGTTTAGGGTGCTTGAGGGGCTTGGAAGGGATGTTGAAAACGAAAAATTGGAGCACCTCACTTTACCCTAAACCCCTAAACTCTAAACCTGGCACCCCTAGAGCCCTAGAAAGCCCTTAAGCATAGAACCCCTACTGCTGATGGTATAAATCCTGCGTTACCTGAAGGAACCTAAACTATGGGAATTATGGTATACTCCTATTTCTGGGTAATGCAGGGTTTATATCATCAACTATAAACCCTAGACCCTAAACCCTAAACCCTAAACCCTAGACCCTAAACCCTAAACCCTAAACCCTAAACCCAACCCCCTTTGTTTCAGGAGCCCTCAACCCTACATGCCTAGCAAGCCCTGGGCGAGGCCCAGAGCCTGGAGCCCTTCTGAAACCCTTTGTAAGGCTTAGGGTTCAGGGGTTTAGGGTTTAGGGGTTTAAGGTTCAGGGGTGTAGGGTTCAGGGATGAAAGGTTTAGGGTTGAAGGTTTGGGGTTTAGAGTTTAAGGGTTTACGGCTTGGGGTGTAAGGTGGAAGGTTTAGGGTTTAGGGTTTAGGGTTGAAGGAACCCTAAATGCCAAAGTCCAAAGCCCTACGCCGTCGACGGAAGGAAATGCTCATTGAGTCTCGGACCAGGCAGGCAGCAATTTCTTCGAAAATCTCCGAATGCCTTTCTTTTAGGTTTAGGGTTTCGGTTCAGGGGGGTAGGGGCTCAGGGTTTAGGGGTTAGGAGTTGAGGGTTGAGTCAGTTTAAGGTTTAGGGTTCTGGAGGGTCGCGAGACACGCCAACATCTAGGCTTCGCGAGTGCCTACAAAATAATCTAGGTTATAGGTATAATGACCCCGAGCCCTAAACCAAAAGGCAAGCCCTGCAAAAAGACGTGCTCTGGCATGGTAATGCAGGGGCCTTCATAATTGGAATAGGGTCTTAGGCAGATTATCCGATGACTATAATCAGGAGCCTTAAGAACAATTTTGGCAACAACCCTAAACCCTAAACCCTAAACCCTCAACCCTAAATTCAGTCTTCTATATTAGGCTCAGGTTCAACTGTGCATCCTCAAAACTGCAAGTCTCAAGAACCTCGTGCTTAGGGTAGGTTTGGGTATAGCTACGAACCACAAAATTGAAAGCCCCAACGAGACCTTGAAACCTTCCCTACTTGGAGGCCCCGGGGACTTAGTAAGTAGGTTGTAAGTAGAGTTGTAGGTACCCTAAACGGAGTTACCCCAAATTATAACCCTACTTATAACCTACTTACTAAGTCCCTTGGGCCTCCGAGTATACCCTAAACCCTAAACCCTAAACCCTAAACCCTAAACCCTAAACCCTAAACCCTAAACCCTAAACCGTAAACACTAAAGCCCTTCAGTCCAAACCCACAAACCCTAAAGCCCTGAAGCCCTAAACTCGCCAACCCACAAACCCTGAACGCCAAAACCCAAAACCCCTAAACACTCTGAAGAGCCTAGCCCGAAACCCTTAAATACCTAAAGCCCTAAACTCACAAACCCACAAGCCCGAAACCCTAAACCTTCCACCTGAAGCCCCAAGCCGTAAACCGCTAAACCCTAAACCCTAAACCCCCTTAGAACCCCCCGAGACGAAACGAGGGCGCCTGTAGGCATCTTCCAGCTCGAGGAAGTAGTCCATCTGCTGATGCAGGAGAGCCACCGCCCCTTTTGGGAGCTTCTTTGCTTTTGGGGGCTCAAGCTTCTTTGTTTAAGGCTTAGCGTTCAGGGTTTAGGTTTAGGGTTTAGTTTTGGATGGGGATTATAGGGGGAATTGGAGTCTTAGTTTAAAGCTTTTTTTTTGGTTGGGGAGAGGCAGGGGTGAGGGTTTAGGGTTCGAGGAGTTCTGTGTGGGTTCTATAACGGCTTTTCTCCAGCGGTCCGTTTTGCCACACTCGCGTTTTGAGGAACCCTCAACCCGGAACTCAAAACAAAACCCACACTGCAGGCGTTTTGAAAATCAGGGTTCAGAGTGTAGGGTATAACAGGCCCCTTCTGCACCCACAACTTCAAGCCCAAAACCATCAGAACAGAGAAAAAACAGCGGCCGGCGAGCCTTGGCGATGAAGTTCCAGCTTCAAGGCAGTTCTCACCTGCTCCTGGAAAAGTAAGGAAATAGACCGCAGATTCACATTGTCTCCTAAAAGCGAACCCACAACTTGAACCTAAACCCTAAACCCTAAACCGAACCCCCCATAGTTCGAAGTCTAGAGTCTGGAAGACTAAACCCTAAACCCTAAACCCTTACCACCAAACTTGATCTCTGAACCTTGAAACCCCAATCTCTAAACCCAAACTTGCCAGGGTTTAGGGTCTAGGGTCTAGGCTCAAGTTCGAAGAGTTGAGGTTAGGGGTTTTGGCTTAATGGCCTAGCAGGGGCAGTCTTATAAGGAGCTAGCCGCAAGGTTCGATCGAGCTGTCAGCATTGCCTGAAAACAGTTTGGGCTTAGTGTTTAGGGTTTAGGGTTTAGCGGTTAGGGCTTAGGGTTTAGGGTTTTAATTCCCAAGCTATGCTACAACATCACTCAATGCCACGATGGGTATCGCCTACCAGTGGCCTATCAGCACCCCCTCACATTCTCTGCTCACCACTCGCGCTGCCATCATCATCACCAACCTCAGCATCAGCATCACCATCAGCATCATCGCCATCGATGTCACCATCATCATCATCGTCGTCATCATCACAGTGGCAGCAAAGGATGACCTTCATGATAAGGCTCGGCAAGTCTTTTTTGAAAGTCCTCGAAGGGGGACATGATAACCAGTTGCAATCACTTCGGCTCACCAGGTTAACGCTGACTGTGACAAAGAAGATGTTGATTTAAGTGAGGCTGACGATGAAGGTGAAGATGAAAAATATGATGCCGATGACGACGGTGATGGTGCTGGTGATGGTGCTGGTGCTGGTGCCGGTGCTGGTGCTGGTGCTGGTGGTGCTGGTGCTGGTGCTGGTGCTGGTGATGCTGGTGATGCTGGTGATGCTGGTGATGCTGGTGATGCTGGTGATGATGGTGATGATGGTGATGATGGTGATGATGGTGATGATGGTGATGATGGTGATGAAGGTGATGATGGTGATGATGGTGATGATGATGACAACAATACGTAATGATGGTGAGGATGGTGACGATGATGATGGTTCGATTGTGTTGATGATAACGGTGATGGTGATAACAAACCACAAGACTACGTGCTCCAACCATGACAAATAGCTACTTTAAACAATGCCAGAAAGGACAAATGATCATCATCATCATCCCCGCTTTATGCTTCATCGTCGCAATCGCAATGGCTACTGGCCTCATCATCGTCATGGACACCATCCTCAGCGGTACGAACAGCAGAAACAGTGACAGTTGGAAAGGGAGCACCCGCCTAGAGGCCTAGCATCCCAGGCCGCGCAGGACCCTTATATGGCCGGCGATTTGACTGCGGCCGCTCCAGCCGAATTGGAGGCGCTGGCCCTCGTTCTTCAGTTCTCGAAGAGTCCTCTCTCGCGGCACATCGGAACATCTGGGTGGCTTCGTTGACCTCGCTGTCCTCCAAGTACGGATTCATGGGGTCCTCGTCGTCGGTGCGCTCGAAGTCGAACAACGTGTGCAGAAGGACGCGGGAGTGGAAGATGCGAAGCACATCACCAGCTCGTGGTGGCGGCGGTCCTCCGCGAGACGCACCTCGTCCGCATCCCGGACCCACCGAGCCAGCAGGGGTCGCACGTGAAAGCCAAGCAGGACGGGCCCGAAGTTGGAAAAATGCTCGAGGCCCCGAAACCTCAGATCTTAGCCTCATCACCGAACAGTAAGTTGTGGGTGTATGGTTTAGGGCTTTGGGTTGTGGGTTTAGGGGCCTGTTCTCCCAAGCCATACAAACCCTCATCATCGAGCAGGAAAATCTAGAAACCTGAAAACCGCTAGTTGTCGCAACCTTACATAGCCCCTCTTGAGTCCCATATACTATAGGGGCCTTGAATAATTACAGTAGGGTTTGGGGGTATATTATACTAGAATTACCAAAAGGAACCCCCAAAACCCTATTCCAAATATTAAGGCCCCTAACTTAGAAGGCTGAACCCCCACGAATTCTGCCTAGCCCAGCCAAGACCCCTCCAACCCTGCTGTCCTCTTTCTGGGCTTCCTCAGATCTGGATTTAGGGTGTAGGGTTTAAGGATTTAGGGCTTGCGGTGTCGGGTTCAGGAGTTTAAGGTCTAAGGCATCGGGTTTAGGGTTTAGGGTTATGTCTTAGGGATTCGCGGGTTTTAGAAGGGTGTTAAGAAGCAGAGCTTGAAGATCTAGTAGCTGCTTTGAGGCTCCAGGCTCTGTGCTTCATTCCAGGCCTCAGGAAAGGATTCAACGTCTGGTTTAGGGTTTAGGGTTTAGGGTTTAGGGTTTAGGGTTTAGGGTTTATGGTTTAGGGTTTGGGGCGGTGAGAGGCCTTGGCCGAAGAATCGCCTTGGCGTATGCATGTGCCCTTGACTATAGGGCTTTTGGAGTTCACCATCGCGCGTAAAAAAATCTACCGTGCTTAGCTTAGCCTCTGCTACAAACAATGAGCCACGTGCCATCACTTGGAGGCCCAGGGGACTTAGTAAGTCGGTTACAAGAAGGGTTATAATTGGGGTACAGTAACTCCATTTAGGGTACTTATAACTCTACGTATAACCTACTTACCACGTCCCCTGGGCCTCCAAGCACTTGGGCAGCAAAGGAAGGAGAGCGCAGAGCCACCCTTTCAAGTATGTAGCAGTGTTTCGCTTCCGGTGGACCTGACCACTTGCTGCAGAGGATCTTTTGGGCGGTCCTTGTGGGAATCCTGACCCTGAACCCTAAACCCTAAACCCTGAACCCTAAACTCTGAACCCTAAACCCTAAAGCCTAAAGCCCAAACCCTAAACCCTAAACCCGGCCTGTGAATCAAATAAACTGAATGAGACTTCCCGTGCTGATGACTCATGTGGTCTCAACCTTACACCTTCCGGTGCGAGCTGCGTCCTAAATGTCAACGCAAGCAAACATGTAGGGGTTCGAAGAATAGAAAATGATAGAAATACTGGTAGTAATAATTGCAATAGTTGTAAAATAGTAAGAATAACAATAATAGAAATGATATGGTCACACTATAGTACAGTAGTAATTCTAGTAGTAATAACAGTACTAATGGCAATACTAATTTCAGTAACAGTAGTAGTAAGAAAACTAAGAACCATAGCAGTAGCAGCATTAACAGTCGTAGCAAGAATAGATACTGATATCATGTCTCATAGACATACTCAAATACACCCTCGAAAACCCTTTTCCAATGATTCGAAGTGCAAATGCCCCGAACTTACGTAAGGCCTGAACTGGTAAGCCCCGGGAACGAACAATGCCTCAACCCGACCACTGCAATCGAGAACTCGTCGGTTGAGGGTTTATGGTTTAGGGCTCAGGGCTCAGGGTTTGTTGTTTTGAAGCCTTAAGTATTGTAATCGTAGTCATCGGGCTTTAAGGCTTTGGGTATGTTATCACATATTATGCAAGGAGTATTCTTAGCATGCAGACCCTCAAACCCCAAACCCCGAGGCACTTAGCCTTAAGATCCCAAGAAAGACCTACATCTGAAAAAGAAACCCCTCAACCCAATCCGTGGTCCCTAGATCCCCCCATCCCGAAACAGCCTCAAAGCATTTTTGGGTTTAGGGTTTAGGGTTTAGGGTTTAGGGTTTAGGGTTCCCGAAACACCTGCTGAGCTGTCGGGTCGCTTCGCCCCGGCAGACCTGCGCCTCGAGCATCTGCCGGAGGCAGTATGAACTATCACCTCGCGTTTAGGGTTTAGGGTTTAGGGTTTAGGGTTCAGGGTTTAGGGTTTAGGGTTTAGGGTTTAGGGTTTAGGCTTCAGGATTTGCGACGAGTTCTTGTTAAAATTTACCCTGAACCTTAAACACTAAACCTTAAGATTTAATATCGAAGCCTAAGAGTCCTTACTTTAGACATGCTATGCCATTCCCCCCAAAACCGAAGCCTAATTATTCAGACCGTCGGGCTTCAGACAAGAGTTGGGGTTTAGGGTCTGGGGTTTAGGGTTTAAGTAGGGTTTAGGGTTTAGGGCTCAGGGCGCAGGGTTGGAGAAAAACTCTGGGTTTAGGGCTTAGGATTTACGGTGTAAGGTTCAGGATGGACATCTTATGCGCGAGTGAGAGAGAATGCCCTAAACGCCAAACCCTAAACTCCAGACTCTAGATCCTAAACCCTAAACCCTCAACCCTAAACCCTCTCACAGGATCCGCAGCTGCTCGCGTGCCACGGACAACTTTGCCTTTCCCAGGACCTTAGTAAGTCCATCTGCTTCAAGCTCGTTGGTTCCACGATGCTCAATGTGGATGTTGTGCAGCCACACCAGATCTCTGATGTATGCACACCTTATGGCAAAATGCCGTGTTCTCATCGCCTGTATGTGAAAGCGCTGCCGGGTGATCAAGTGGATAGCGCCTGAATTGTTTCCGTTGGCAACAATGTGGATCTTGCACGCAAGTAGCTTTTCGATAACTGCGTGAAGTTTGATTCCTTCTTGTATCGCCCCAGCGGTGGCCTCTATCTCGGACTCGGTTGCACTCCAAGCTACAATCGATTGTCGCTGGGATTTCCAAGATAGAAGATGGTCCTCCAAGAAAAGGGCAATCCCACTGCGGGAACGTGCTCTAGACCCTAAACCCCAAAAACCCCAAACACCCTAAACCCTAAACTCTAGACCCTAAACCCTAAAACCCTAAACCCTAGAGCCCCGGGTCGACTGGGAAGGCTCAGGCGTGAGAGATGTCAGCGCAGGAATGCAACAGCGGCAAAACGGCAGAGCACCCCAGCTTCTATTTCATATACGTTAAAGGAAACTACAGTGGGAGCTAGGATTAGGGGGACCCTTGGGGATAATAAGGTCCCTTTTAAGAGAGCCACAAGTAGGGTTCAGAAGGGGTACCCTTTAAGGGGTACGCTAATAGTACTACCTATACAGGCGGGGAGTTTAGGGCATACAGGGCTTCTATTAGGCTTCTATAAGGTACATAGACCTTCTATAAGGCTCCTATAACGGTAACTACCCACCTGAAAATGTCCTTGAATAAGGCTTTCATAACTGGAATGGGGGCCGTAGGCTATAATATAGTGTAATCATATGGGGACTACCTACTGATTTCTCTGACCCCTGTTTTCGACCCCTCGTAGGTCGTAGAGAGTCTTGAGTTTTGGGCTCTGGGTTTGTCGGCCTCGTGCGCATGCAGCGGATCTGGATGACACAGTTTCGCACATGTGATGCCACTGTCTTCGCATTGAACGTACCAAAACCCCATCAACCTTGCGAGCTTTGAGACCCCCCTCCAAACCCCGTAAGGCATCCCCCGAAACAATCCCTGTGGGGTGTCCTACCCCTCAACCCTAAACACTCCCTGAAGCAGGGGTGCAGACGCTCCGCAGCTTGTGGTAAACTCGGACGAAATGACGACCCAGCTGATGGACAGCTCGCCAACAGCGGACAAGCCGGTCGATGCGGTGGGCTTTGGAGGCCTGGAGTTCCCTGACTATGACTATGAACGACTCTATCAGCGTTGGCGTGATGGCCGCATTACCAGTGACCAGGTCTTGGCAGATTGGGGCAAGGATCTCTTGGAGTTGATGGAAACCCAACTCCTTCTTGACGGAAAGTATGTGGAGGACACGCCGGGGCTGCTTGGAGGAACAACTTCTACGTCGTCGGTGCCTTTGATGCTCGAGGGCCATAGCCATGTATTCGAAGCTGGCGACCAGGTGATCCCGGATGGTGACCAAGAGGTTGCGATGGGGGCTGCTAACCCGCTGGGAGTCCAAGTCCAACCGGACGGTGCGATCATGGTCGATGTTAACTTTGTGCATGTCCTGATTGACAAACATATGGGAGACATGGTCGATAGAGCTGTGGACGGAATCGACACTGATGAAGAATGACCTGGGATGATGTAAAAACATGGAGACTGATGAGGGTGACTTTTCTGAGCGAACGTCGGGTTTTCTTTTCTCTGCTGGGGATTAGCGACAAGTGCGTTTCCCATTGACAGCTCTCCTCAAAGAGGATTCTGGAGCTCGGACAGAGCAGACGGAAAAGGGCCCTTTAACAAAACAAAAACCCTAAACCCTAAACCCTAAACCCTAAACCCCTAAACCCTAAACCCTAAACCCTAAACCCAAAACAAAAACCCTAAACCCTTAAACCTTGAACCCTAGACTCCAAACCAAAAGACCCTAAACCCCAAGGCCTGTGCCTGTTTCGAAGGCCTCGAGCATGAACGGACCATCAAACTGAACCCCTAAACCGGTTTGGTGGTTCAGGTGGAGGGTCCCATGCAGTGACCCCTAAAGCAGAAGAGAGGGTTTAGGGTTTAGGGGTGGTGTAGGGTTTAGGGGTTTAGGGGGTTTAGGGGTTTCGGGGCTAGGAGTTTAGTAGGGGTTAGGACTCTAGGGGTTTAGGGGTTTAGGGGTTTAGGGTTTAGGGGTTTAGGGGTTCAGGGTTGAGGGTTTAGGGCTTCAGGGAGTGTTTAGGGTTGAGGGGTAGGACACCCCACAGGGATTGTTTCGGGCTTTTGCAGCACTGTAAAGCGCGGTGATGGATGCCTTACGGGGTTTGGAGGGGGGTCTCAAAGCTTGCAAGGTTGATGGGGTTTTGGCCCAATGACGATAACTCGGCCATTCTCTCGCCTGATGGCGATTCCGCGGTGGAATTCGAGCGGTCTCGGACTGTTTGCGTCCACCCGGTCTTGCGAAATGGCCTGTTCAACTTCTACTTGAAGCTGGCGATGGCCTTCATCAGCAGAAGCTAGAGACTCAGGAGACTCTGACTCCGATGCATCAGTGTTCCCATCAGGAACTGAAGATACAGGATCCTGTGATCCATCATCATCAGAGTTGATGCCTTCTCCTTCCATCCGCCCGCAAGCGGCACCCTCATGGGGTGTAGGTTGCAAGATGGCGCGCCCAGAGTCCTTTTCAAAAAATATAATATGCTCCAAACCCTGTTCTATTATTAAGGCCCCTATATTAGTCTACAGCCCTAAACCCTAAACCCTAAAGTAAGAGCCCGGGCTGGGGCGTTTTGGCCCAGGGTTTGGGGCTCAGGGCCCAGGCTTCAATATAGCAAGGGTCGCCTTGGGGTTTGGGGGTTTAGGGTTCAGGGTTTAGGGGCCCTAAGCATTAGAATACAGATTTGGGGTCCCTTTGAACTATATTTAAAATAAGGGCCCCGCCCAAAATAGGGTAGGTAATTCTGTAGGCTTCTACACTAGAGGTTTCGGGGTTTAGGGCTCAGGGTTTGGGGTTTGGGGGGTTTCGGGGTTTAGGGTTTAGGGGTTTCGGGGTTTAGCGTCTAGGGTTTAGGTGCTTACCGGATTTCCGAGATCATAGATTAGAGCTGGGCCGGTTGCAGCTGAGAATGTGTTGTTGACCGATGTGTTTGGACTCCCTGCAAAAAAAAGCAAAGAATGCAAATATGTAACAATGTCTCTGATGATAATCGTCAGCACTGTTAGTGGCAAGGCAAACAAAAGCAACAATAGTAATTTGTGTTAACAACGATTCAGCAATAGCTTGGAAATATGTCAGCCATAATTCATGATCGGTTGGATGCTAACTCAATAACTTCAACAACAGGTGAAACTCACCTAAACCCTCAACCCTAAGCCCT